TTAAAGTGATAAATTCTTTTGTTTGTGCGATCACGTTAACGCAACTAAACAGAAAAAGTAAGAGAGAGATATTCTCAATTTTATATAAAAAAGTGACTTTTCAAGTTACTTTATCACTTTTTTGATTCATGTATGTGTACATAATGCATTTTTTCTATGGAATAGTTTTTCTCAACAGAGAAAAGGGAGTAACTCAGCGGCAGAGTGCCACGTACCTGTGGTAGACACAAATTCAACTCGTGTCTCCTTACACTGCTGTTAAATAACTGTTTCGTCGAAAGACATGCATTATAATCGAAATATCAATTCTCTCTATTTAAAACTAATTGACTCTGAAGTTGACAGTGATCCAAATCAGTAAAAATTCATATCAGTTGCCATTCAGCAGTCTCTATCACTTTGAAACTTTACGCCTATAATTAGCAGTATAAGTTCCATAAAAGTGCATGTATTTCCTCAGGAATTTTGCTTCCAAATTTGGTTTCACAGAAAGCTTGCATGTGCTCAATGTACTTTTTCTATATATATAATTTAGGTTTCCGTCCTCCGCATCGTAATCAGGTGCAATATGCCTTGAAACGTCTTCATTATGAAAAGAAGAGTGCGCTGAAAGATCAACTACAACAATCGAAGTATATCGGTGTAACAACTGATTTTTGGTCCGACCGTCGTACCAAGTCGTGTTTAGTTTTAACGGGTCATTATGTAACAAATCGATTTCAGTTTGTATCTTCTGTATTGAGTTTCACAACCTTTCAACAACGTCACAATGCTATTTATATTTCACAAGAAATAGAACATCAATTAAAAAAACTAGACATTTATAACAAAATCACAACCATCACAGCAGATGGTGCATCCTCTATGAGAAATGCCATTGATGCTCTGAGTGATGGTATCGGACGAATTTGGTGTCTCGCGCACAAATTACATTTAACGGTGACTAATGGATTGTGTTTATGGTTAAAGCACAAAAAACAAAACGATGATGATATACAAAATACGAGTGATGGTGTTAAAGCCATGTCAGTCGATGATCTTAATGAAGTTTCAGCCAATATTATAGCTACTGAAACTTCAGCAACACCAATGAATTCTGCAACGTACAATTGCATTTCTTTTTGTGAGAGACCGTTAATGCGTTTTGATATGCAAGCATTGGATCTCTTTAAAAAACTTCGGCAAAGCAGAATTAAATGTGTACTCTTATAACCTTAGGGCGAATTTTAAGGGATTATCATTTGGTTTCGCATAGAAATACATTGTATTGAAATATTTATGTAAAAAGAACTGACTTAGAAATAATCGGACCACTACCAAATTTACAGAATTTCTGGAAAATGAAAAACTCCGTCAAATTCGATTTTTTCATGACATTTTTAAAACCACATACCGTGGCAAACCTTCGTGAAAAACTGAATTTTTTCTCTGGAAATAGATAAATTTTAAGAAGCACAAAAGCTCAGAATTATTTGTCGATTTCACTTATGTACTTTTGGTTAACGTAAAAATAGCTTGCCATAATAGGTATCACAACTAAAAAGTGAAAGTGAAAGTTTGATATGATGAAGCGTCACAACAGCTAGTTTTTCTCACATCTCCCATGCTTATCCCCCACTTTATAGACACCACGAAATATGTCCTATCTCATATTTAATTTTAGTGAACAAAGCAAACAAAAAGATGACGGAATGAATATTGATAGTGAAGAATCGGCATTAAGTGATGATGATGATATTACTGAAATTGATGACAGTGTCGAAGGAGAGGACAATTGGGATGATGAAGTACTGTGTGAGGAGACAAATGGGCATACAACAACAATTACATCAGAAGATTGGAGTGATTGTTGAAAAGATGAGAACAACGATAAAGATGATTACAAAGTAAATAAAACGTATAATGTTATAAGAAAAGGAGTGATGTCAGTTTTAGTCCTCTGAGTGCTTAAGAGACGATTCGCGACAAAATCGAGCATTCTGCCAGAGACACCTAACATGGTCAAATTTTAGATTTCGTTTATTCTATGCTCAATCAATAGAGTATGTCGAGAAACCTATTAATCTAAAGTAGTACTGTTTTTCGACTTTCCACTGTCGAGTTAGACGATGTCGAAGTTTACTCGAACGAGAAAAGCAGCAGTCTCGTATTCGAGTCCGCTGCCGCCCATTTCAAGTCCGATAATTCTGAACGACGTCTCATTCGAAAGAGAATCGTCTTGTGCACCACATAGTGTGCTTTTCGAATCGGAGAAGTACTTTTTCCTAGTCCAAAATGGTACTTCAATCAAGTCGAACCAACTCGAAAATCTCGTTTTCGATCTTTTTCGAGATGATACCCCTCTTGGAAGTCAACTAAACTAGTCCTGTTTTATAGAGAATTGTTTTCTCTACAAGATTCACTAAGAAAATAATTATTAGATCCTCAGCAATAGGGCAGAAATTTCAATTTACATCATCATCTACTTCTATTGACGAAGAGCTAATGAAATATCGAACCATTGCCACATTAGAATCGACTGATATTATTGAAAACGACAAACCACCAAATGTACTTCAATTTTGGGCCTCCAATTCTTATCAACTCCCTATTCTTTCTAGTCTCG